TTTGAAACTTGTGGTCTTAAAAGTATAAGGGGTAAAAGGTTTGTGGGGCCATGATATTTGTGTGGCTATAAAAGTTTCTCATTAAGGGTAAATTGGTAAAATGAAGAGTTTAAATTTGAATTATATTTCCAAATTTAGAAATATGTCATTTGGTTTGGAACGGACTAAAAAGGAAAGTACCTCATCTAATATGAAACGGAGGGAGTATGTAATAACAGATTTGGGGGTATTTAGTAAAGTTGTGGGGTTTTTCTTATATCTTTTGTTAAAATTGGGTAGAAATCCTGCCGATAGGATTTAATTATGCTGATTGAATTGTGTGAGTACTATATTGTGTTTGGAAATCCTGCCTATAGGACTTTCATGATCATCTTGATTCTGTATTTTACATTTGCATACTTGAGATCCTGATTATAAGACTTCCGTTCAATTCTGTACATTAGAAATCCTGTTCATAGGACCTATACATGTTTTCAACAAATGTGCATTAGTAATCATGCCTATAGAACCTTGTTATTTGAGCTAACTATCCTTCTTGGCAATTTGTTTAATTTCTGCCCGTGCACAGCTAATAGATATCATGCCTATAAGATTAAAAAATTAATTTCAAATTTAGAAATCATGCCTACAAGATTTAAGTCAATTAAGCAATTAGAAAGCATGCCTATAGGAAATAAAAATCTATCTTTACAAGTTAAAATCAGTGCTACACCCAGAAACCATCTTTATAGGTTTGTAATTAATAAGCTTGTAGAAATCATGCCTATAGAATCCTGTTGATCGATTCTGAATTCAACCGCTATTGTCAATCACTTAGGCAACGTATCTGTAGAACTTAATAATGATTCTGGGTTTATAATTGTGACATATTACTGCCTGAAGTGCCCAGGTTCACGCTGAATAAAATCAGTAGGCAAACAAATAGGTCTTAATGCTGGCCTTAATAAAACTGCCTTTATACTATGTTTTTTTCTTCTCACGTAGATATCCTGCCTATAGAATTCCAAAGTTAATAAAGTTTGTTGATTCAATTGCGTGCTTTTGTTGCCCATGTGTGGAGGTCAATGTGAGCCCATACTTGTCCATTATCTGAAAGTCCTATTTGTTTTGTTTGTCGCCTAGATTTCACATTTTGAGCAGCCTAAGTTGAGTATAGAACTATCCAAGATAGAGGTCCCAACGCCTCCAGGACCATAAGTATGGGACAGGTAGTGCACGCATAGGGTACGGTTTAGAATCAACTAGTGCACATTAGGTAACAACTTAAAGATAGTAATCGGGTAGCAAGAGATGATAGTCTGTGCCCGCTGAATAATATGAGTAACACCCCGACTCGAAGGAGTTACGAAGTATTATTTATGTTGCACGGGGTGAGCTTTTAGGCTAAAAAACTTAGGACCCCCCATCCGTATTAAATAATCCCTCGCTTCTTATTAGACTAATTCATAGTTCAAGTTTGGCCGGGACCCACCATTGTGGACCTCGAGGGGTGCCTAACACCTTCCCCTAAAGATAATTTCGAGCCCTTACCCGATCTCTAGTAATGTAAACTGGTTATATGAGTTATTTGCTCTAGGTGCCCTAACGTGCCTTAATCCGTTAGGTGGCGACTCTTTCAATTCCAATTCCCTACACTCTCAAAAACGGAGTTGTCCCAAAAATGTCGAAACCCGATTTCGCGAGAAAAAGGAGGCGCGACAACTACGAATTTAGCGCCAAATTGAATGAAATTTTTAAGAAAGTTTAAAACCTCTATTTTCACAACCGGACGTCCGAATCATGTCAAAACAACTTCGTTTCTCACCAAATTTCACAGATAAGTCTTAAATATCATAATGAATTTGTACCGAGCTCCGGAACCAAAATACAAACCCGATACCAATGAAATCAAACATTAACCAAATTCTTAAAACCATTTAATTTCCAAACTTTCAATTTTCATAAAATTAATATCTCGAGCTAGGGACCTCGGAATTCGATTTCGGGCATACGCCCAGGTCCCATATTTTGATATGGACTCACTGGGACTGTCAAAACATGAGTCCAAGTTCGTTTACTCAAAACGTTGACCGAAGTCAACTAAATCAACTTTTAAAGCAAAAATTATTATTTTCATCAACTTTCAACATAAAAGCTTTTCGGAAATATGTCCGGTGCACGCAAATCGAGAAAGGTAAAAATGAGATTTAAAAGGCTTCGGAACACATAATCAAATTCTATAACATAAGATGACCTTTTGGGTCATTACACCTTATCGATTATAAGCCAACTAAAGAGAAGGATGCCAATGACCAAGTTAAAGAAGATGAAGAAGAAGAAGAGAAGAGCTCTTGCAATAGAAAAGCCAATTATTAACAATAAAACTTGTCAATCCATTTACTTTTTGGTAATCCATTTTACTTAATTTTCCTGTATACAAGAAGTAAAATAGATATATTGTCCCGTCACAAAAGTTTATTAATATTACTCATATGTTAGTTTTTATTTTTTGTTTTATTGGGTTCAAGTATAATCTCCCAAGTTACGGTGCAATTAATATTTTAAAGTAATTCTTGTATCATTTTGCATAACTATATTGATTTTTCTTTTTATGTTTTTATTATTTTCAGACACTTCTTATTTAATTGTTCACAAAAAATTTACAATTCTTTATATGTATATATATGTTGCATGGATCACTGTGCTAAGCATCAAAATGGAACAACTTCAAGAGCAATATCTACAATGAAATATTATGTGAAATATATATTTATATTATATGTTTGCACTCCATAACAGTAAAATTCATGTAACTATAAAATATACTTGTCTAATTAAATATTATTATTTATCTCCGCATGGCTATCCAATCAATTTGAGTTCAACACCATATCTGTTAGACTATTTATTATTTTCAGTTTTTACTGTTTGTACAACTAGTATTAGTATCCGCGCGATGCGCGGACAACAAACCGTATGAAATTATAATTTGAGTTATTTGAATTATATGCAAATAATCTTAAAATATAAACTTTTTAGATTAAAATTATCTATAATTATTAAATATTATTTAAAAAGCAGGACATGAAATTATTTCTCATTGTGGACAACTTATATTTTTCTATATTGTAAAAACTAACAACCCAACCCCTTGATTTTGGTATACTTGCATTTTATTTTGCTGTCAAATAGTAAAGTGATCTGCGTTGTTTTAGTATAGTAGATCAGATTAGATATAGATTATTAGATTTGACTAAATCTATTTAGAATATGCCACTTAGCTTAACCACAATGCTAATTATTTATGGTAACTTTATTCCTTTAATATATATAGATTATTATTATGTTATCTAATATATAGTATTATTAGGTTCTATGTGACTATTCATTAACTTGTCACTTTATTTAATATCATTATCCACTACTATCCTTTGATGTAATATATAGAGATATGCAAATTTTTTAATCTTGAAATATATATTTATTTTATTAAAAGTATTTCTCAATTTTTTTAATTATTTAAATTTATTAGTCATATTTTTAAGTATTTTATATTTACTTTATTATTATTTTAAACCTAATATTTATAAATATTCTCACATTATCTCTAACTTATTTGTATTATTGTATATTTTTAATTTTTATGTTATCTAATAGACTTGAGTTATGTGGCCTTATCCACATTGCGACCTTTTTTTATCATAAAAGGGAAAAAAGCTTTCTCATCGCAATTTAAATAAGTTTTACCTTTATTTTTTCTTTATTTGAACCTTATTTTTTCTATTATATTATTCAAAATTTAATATTATTACATTGTCGTTGCTTTTCATTTTGTTTGTTTGAATTTAGTATCCATTTCTATCACACCCATTCTAATATAATACATATAAAAATTAAAAATTATATATATATCAACCCAAATTCAAATATGCATATCCTTCTATTTTTAAAATTGAACCGCATTTTACAAAAAATTATGTTATGCTTTTTAACTTAAACTACTGCACTCAATTCAAATATAAATTGTAAAAAATATTTTCTTAATTGTTTGAACACATTATATTTAATTGTTATAGTAGTATTTCACTATCACTTTCTTTCTCTACATAATGTTTCCAAAATTTAAAAATTGTGAAATAAAATAAAATCAATCATGTTGATCGTAAATAATTATTTAATAGGAATTTTTATTTTTGGAAAGCTTTCAAAATCTATTTAGTATAAAATTTTGATTCAATCTAAATTGATTTCCTCCATAAATTAAATTTAATCAAATCTAATTTATCTTAATCCTTATTAGATTTGTCTAAATCTATTTAGAATATGCCACTTGGCTTAATCAAAATGCTAATTATTTATGGTAATTTTATTCCTTTAATATATATATATATATATATAAGATTTGTCTAAATCTATTTAGAATATGCNCACTATCACTTTCTTTCTCTACATAATGTTTCCAAAAATTAAAAATTGTGAAATAAAATAAAATTAATCATATTGATCGTAAATAATTATTAAATAGGAATTTTTATTTTTGGAAAGCTTTCAAAATCTATTTAGTATAAAATTATGAGTCAATCTAAATTGATTTCCTCCATAAACTAAATTTGATCAAATCTAATTTATCTTAATCCTTATAAGTTTGTCTAAATCTATTTAGATTATGTCACTTGGCTTAACCACAATATTAATTATTTATGGTAACTTTATTCCTTTAATATATATATATATATAGATTAGATTTGTCTAAATTTATTTAAATTATGCTACTTGGCTTGACCACAATGCTAATTATTTATAGTAACTTTATTCTTTTAATATATATATATAGACTAGTAAAAAAAGGGGTGTGCAGTATGGCGTCCACGTCATCAGAACATGGGGCCATGCATGCAACTTTCTATTACGTAAAGCAGAGACACGTGTTCCGTTGCCACGTGAATCTCCCGTGCTCCTTTCCCACAAAAGAAAAGCAGCTGACTCAAAACCAAGCATGTACAGACCTACAAGCTAAGGAAGCCACCGTTTGCTTCCTTTTTCATTGATTCTCTTCTTTTTCCTCAGAGATTCCAACACCCTTTTTGCGTATAATTACAAAGAGAGGAAAATTAAATAGAAGAAAGGTGGTGTAAAGTTTTGAGCTTTTTTTATTGTATTGAGTAATTATGGTGGATGGGCATGTATCAGCTGGTTCAAGAAATGAGAACGGTACAACACCCAGAAATAATAATGTGGAAATTTCAATAGCAACAGCGTCATCAATGTTTCCTGGTTTCAGGTTTTCACCAACGGACGAAGAACTCATATCATATTACTTGAAAAAGAAACTTGAGGGGTCTGATAAGTGTGTTGAAGTTATTTCTGAGGTTGAGATTTGGAAACATGAACCTTGGGATTTACCAGGTACGTACCTCCTTTTTTAGTATTAGCACATGATATATGTGTGTGTGTTTCCATTTTTCCTTTCTTTTTCTACTAATGTGATTGTTTCCACAGTATATTCATATCAGATTCTCTTTTTCCCCTAACTAGACTGCTCCTTTTTTCCTTGTTTTGAGTACCTTAGAATAGAGGATCTTGATGCTCATATATTCCTTGAGTCCAAAGGTGTTTTATCCTTACATCCTCTGGTGAAGCCAGAAATGTTTCCAAGGGTGTTCAAACTCGAAAGAAGTAGAAAAAAATTCTGACAAAGAGGGTTCAATATAGGTTTTATATATCTAAAATCAATATTTTATTTATATACACAGCGTAATTTTTCAGCGATGCTAAAGGTGGCTTCTCCCATGCTTACATTGACGAAACAAATATGAAAGCACATCTACCGCAAAAGACAAAAGAAAGGAATAACCTCCTCTAGGATAATCTATTAATGATATTTTTTTCCACGTGTCAACTTCTTCGACTCTTATGTTCAGTGGCGAAGCTAGAAAAATTTTCAAGTGTGTTCAAACTTGAACAAGAAAAATAAATTCTCAACAAGTAGGTGCACCGAAAAATTTAAATCAAACAACGTGATATCGAGCTAAATTATAAAAATACAGGTAATAGTACAAACAGTTGGATAAATCCAAACTAATATAAAGAAGCGTAGAAAAGAGATTCTACTTATTACAATTGTACTCGACGAGGCTTCATCTCTTGAAATGTTTTTATAATAGACTCATTAGAAACAGTACTAAATACTTCTCTTTCTACATAAGGCACTATGCAACCGCCTAAAAAGTCATCATCCAATCGATTCCGCAAAGTCATTTTTGATAAACTTCATTGCTGATAAAGCTCTTTCAACGGTTGCAGTGGCAACAGGCAGAAGAAACGCAAGTTTCACTAAGAGGAATACAAGAGGATAAACTGAATGCTTCTTTGTCTTAACTAATCTTTTTGAAAGATCAGAAAGCCCATTTAGATCGGAGAACCTTTCATCAAAATCACGAACATCAATAATATAACTCGCAAGCTAATTCTCAAGAGCATTCATCCTAAATTCATCAAAGTCATCAGGATACAATTCCTAAACCCTTTACAAACATTACCACCACCTTGATGAATACTTTCTCCCTTAAATAAATAACAAGGTAAACAATATGCAGCATCGGTACTTGCACTATACTCCAACCAATTAAATTCATCAAACCATATAGGATTAAAACGACGCTTAAATCCAGAAAAGTCAAATTGAGGGAAGTCATGATACCGAGGTTGGCAAGGACCACTTTGAATGTATGCCCTCCCTATTTCATCGCGATGGTTTGGATGATACTCCAATATTGGAGTTCTTTCAGCTGGATCGGGCTGTGGAGCAATTGTATCAATTTATTGTCTTAGAGAAGAATGCGAGGGAAAATCTGATTGATCGGCATTTTCTGCTCTGTTAGATTGATTTTGAGAAGCCGAAGTTATTTTTGGTACTTTGTTGTAAAATTTCAACAAGTTCATTGCAACTTCAATTCCCTGAATGTATAAAGTAGTTAAAACATATTACTCCTCAACAATTAAATAAACAAAAGGAACATCAACAGTTTGTGTTTGAACTTACAACAAGCAATATACATAAATGTTAACTAGTTACGCACAGTGTACTGTCCCAAAAATATTTATCATATAAAAAATTAGAGAAATTTAAAACAACTGAAACTTTGAAGCAAAAAAGGAAAAGAAAGACGAGATTCGAAGTTCGAACCAGTTCAATGGCGGAATGGAGTATTTGGACAGTCGGAGTAACACCGGCGAAGACGGAGAGCAGCAAGAACTTTCAAACGCAAAAGTTCGTTGGCAGAGAAATCAAAGAAGATGGAGACCAAAATTGACCTAGGTTTTTTCCTTTTTGTTTGTGTGAGCCGTGAGGAATGAGGAATTAGGGATGGATCGATTTTGACTTTTAGGGATTAGATTTGTTTATTCCTAATTTTTGTTTTATACAGATTTGTTTATTCCTGATTTTTATATGATAAAGCAAGTCAAACAACGAAAACGACGTCGTTTAGTCTGCTTATCTAGTTGTCTTTAAAAAGAATTGTACTACAACAAAAATTGTGGAGCGAGGAGTCCGAACTTGCGCCTCTAAGGCGTTTTGACCACCCTTTGTCACTGGGCTATGCCTCTTCATTGTTACAAGGGTGTTCAATATGTATTACATATATATAAATTCTAATATTTTACTTATAAACACGGTATTATTTTTCGACGAAGGGTGGTCAGTTGACCACCCTTGCTACACTGTACCTTCGCCCCTGCTTATGTTGATTATGCTATATTCGTGATTGAAAGTGAAGAATCTCTAAGGAAAAAAGGGAAGAATCTCCTTTTCTTTTATCATAAAAGCAATCATGTTAAGAGTGCTTTTGTATAAAGTCATGTCATAAGGGTTAGAAATCTGAACTAAGTAGATTTATTTCTTGAAGATATTGGTAGAGGATTTTATTAAAATGCAGTGCCAAGGAAGTAAAGAAGAAGAAAAGAATGGACTTGTCTCCTTCGAAGTATAGCAAGTCCACTGTAAGACCTATGCCATTTTACAGTATTGTTCTATCCCACAATTAAGGATTTCTCAGACAGCTATACTTAACAAAAGATAAAAATAATTCCCTTCAAAACATGTATGGTTTTAGGATTATCTATTAGTGATTCAATGTGAAAGCTATTTTAGGAGAAGTGAGCTGCTGTCTAAAACAGCTGAGTAAGTTCTACGAGAGGAGATCCACTAAAGTTTCACACTTAATGAAGACAATGGAATGATAATTATCGTATACAAATGAAGTCAATAGACAGACTTATACCGAAGACTTGATTTGTAATATCATCATATTTAAATCGGCTGGATTTGTAATGAAGAAAAATGACATTTGGAAACTGATTTCCACAGTTCCAAAGAGTAAGAGAGATTGGTGAATCTTAAGGATATGAATCTTGGTCATCCCTAGTCCTAGTATACTTACCTGGACGGGTTCAATGGGCAATCAAGAAGGCCCATGGCCTAGGCTGGTGACCTCCATTGCACTTTAGACGGGTGCCCGCCTAAGATCGGCCCAATTGAGCCTACGTCATAATTAGTGGTAGAGGGTGCCGTAAAAAAAATCCCTACTTCTAGTAGCAGAGGAGAATGTGTCATGAACTTTTACCCTCTTTTGAGTTGGTAAGGATGACTTCTTCTGCTTGTTACTTCTCTCTTTTTCCAAAACATTGGAAATTAATAAGTTATACAGAAAATAAGGTCATTTATATGCCTCCTCTCTATTTTACTGCAGTAAGTGGAGAATAAAGCTCAGATGGCACTGAGGGTTGGATCTTCAACTGTGAGAGAAAATAGGTTAACCGGCATACATCTGGTCAAGTTAGAAATAAGGCCATGAAAAAAGTAGTACATATTTAGATGTATTACCACTTAGGTCTATGGCCAATTTAGAAATAAGTTGAAATCTAGAATCTTGGCAGTCTCTTTGTCTGGGCACTATTGGCCTTCCAATACTCAGATTTTGAATTTTTATTGCTTGCAGAGGAAGCGATTGCCAGTGGGATCTAATCACTGTTTTGCATGGTTTTCTTCATGAATTACTTCTGTGAATGATTAATATCTTGGTCAAACGGTAAAGAGTAACTATTGGCTTTTTACACTCTTTATTCGTAGTCAGAGATTATTTAAGGCTTTGACTGCCCCTCCTCTGCACTTTTGGTCATATTTATCCTTTAAATTTTGGTCTCATTAATTATTGTTTGCACCCTTGAAGGAAGGAAAAATGAGCTCACTAATTCTAGAACCAAATGAGTTTTGCTTTGACCTGAGTTTTCTTGAAATACTTTCTAGAACCTATAAATTTATCATTTCTGAATATGTTTTTATTTGCTTCTACAGTTATATGCTTAATTTTAAAAGGTGATTAGATGTCTACCATCTGTCCCAATATGGAGGCATGACATATTTTTGTCTCGTGTTCCATCAACCTTACGTTGGCATTGGCCATATGCCTTGATATTTTGATGGTTCGGATATGCAAAGCTGGGGATCATAATATGGGTCATCACCATACAGCGTAGAGTATAAGATTATTGCAGTTATTATCTTGCTGATTTTGTCCTCCGTTTTAGAAAGGCACCCGGGAATTATGAAAAACATACTTTATGTTACCACCTTCAGGCAGCTTCAGCCCCAAAAGATATTCATTTGACTCTCTTTGCTAGTTACTCTCTGAGTTGTAACTCATACAACGTGCTTGTTCTATTAATTGATTAATCCCTATTTTTCATGTTACCAGCAAAATCCGTCATTCAATCAGATAATGAATGGTTCTTCTTTTCTCCTCGTGGAAGGAAGTATCCAAACGGGTCGCAAAGTAAAAGGGCAACTGAATCTGGTTACTGGAAGGCCACAGGAAAAGAACGTAATGTGAAATCTGGTTCGAATCTCATTGGCACAAAGAGAACTCTGGTGTTCCACACTGGTCGAGCACCTAAAGGACAGAGGACACATTGGATAATGCATGAATATTGCATGAGCGGAAACACTAATTATCAGGTACTTGAGAGCTCTGACCCACCAACCTCATGATGAACTTCCAACCTTTTCAGCTAAAACGGCAAATTCACCTACCTACTGTTAGCTGTTTGTTCCTTGAGTAGAAAATGTCATTCTTATGGATTCTTTAATACATGTCTTCCTAAATTTTAGCATCAATAGTTTCTTTTGTTATTTGGTGCTGAATGGTTTGCTCAATTATAGTTTATCAGAAGTGAGAAAAAAGAAGGAATGTGTTGTCAATATAGTGGTTACTCAAGAATGCTCTATAACCTGCTCTTACTGACTGTAGCAACTGAAAAGAAACTTGGAGAAACCAATAGTTTTATTTGTGGTAGGCCATCATATAGATGCTATAATGTCCGATATGAAGGAAGAAACAGGAAACAGCAATTTGTTTAAGTTGATATATCAATAGTCACATTCATTTTGCATACTGTTTAGAACTTAAATAAACAAATATAAATATATTTACCTGGAATGTTCAACTGTATTATGTGATGTTTGAGTGATGATATGATTCAAGATAGAAAATTCACTTCGAGCTACTTCTATTTAACTGTTAACTGTAAGACTTGGTGGGATGTCTATGCCATAATTGTTCTTTCTTGATTCAATCTAATTCATCCCATTGCAGAAGCCTTCAACAGGACTTGACAGGTTCCGAAATTCAATTATGTTACCACTTTCCGCACTCTGGAGATTTTTATTGCACATATTGTATGTTGCCTTGTTTTGCTCAATGAGATAGTTTGTTTGCTGCAATAAACCACTTATTGTTTGTTTGCTGCAATAAACCACTTACTGAAAATATGTCGATCCTCTGCATCAATAAAATGCTTTGAGTGTTTGGTCTGATGTGTTATACAGGATTCTATGGTTGTCTGCCGCCTCCGGAAGAATAGTGAGTTTCATTTGAATGACACCCCAAGAAATCAAAGGAATCAACTGGCTGCTACCGCTACTGCAACCGCTCAGTCTGGAGCAGGACAATTGGGCAGCTTGGAATTGGTCACTGTAGGGGATTGCTGTTGTTCAAAGGAAGGGAGTAGCAGTTTTTATTCCCATTCGGTTGAGCAGATTGACTCTGGATCAGAATCTGATAAACCAACTAAAGAGTTCTCTCAGCACGATTCCTCTGGCCACTTCAAGGTTTTGGTTTTACGGCCATTTTCTGTTGCTCTTTTATTAATGTGTCACTTTCTGTGATCTTAACCTTTTCCATAATAATTAACATAGTTTCTTTCAGAAAATAGAGAGATTAGATGAAAGCACAACTTTGTCTTTCTTTTGGGATCATCTCTATTCTTCACTAAGCCTAATCAGGGGCGCATCCAGCTCTCTCTTTGGTGTCGGGTTCATCTGAACCCAGTACTTTCGTTGTGGAATATAAATTTGTGTGTAAAAAATCGCCGAAATTGTAAAAATAGTTGATATGAACCCATAACTTCAACAATATAATATGTTGAATGCTAAAAATCTTAAAGGTTGAACCCATAAAATTTAAATCCTGAATCCGCCTCTGAGCCTAATGGCATATGCTTGAAATCCAATCATTTCTTTTTTTGGGTCCTAATATACAGCTGTGTGGAATTCCAGGACTGTGATGGCGAGGAGGACTGGTTTGCTGATATAATGAAAGATGATATCATTAAGCTAGACGAATCTTCGTTGAATGCCCAACCTATTTCCATGGTTCCCAGTAGGCCTGAATCCTCGATATCAACTCATGAAGCTCGAGCTGCGATGTCCGGTGTGGCTCCTTTCCAGGGCACCGCTAATCGAAGACTCAGACTAGTAAGGGAAAAAGTAGTGGTGTGTCCAGTAGAGGGATCCAGAATGTATGAAGCTACCAAAAAGAATAAAATCGGAGTGAGCATAACTAGTTCAGGAAGATGGCTGAGAAACATGTTTTCAGTTAAAACGATGAAGCAATACGTGATGCCTATATTTCTGGTTGCCTTTATATTACTGGTCATGCTTCTTAGTATGTTGGGAGTCTCACAGCAAGTGAAATGGCTTAGGCGTGTTCTCGTTTTGACGAGCAGCTGAAGTTAAATACCTATCTGGTATGTTGTTTTACTAATATTTAGAGTGGGAGTTGAAAAAGGAATGAGTGTCTGCACTATGCTTGTGGTATTTGAGCTTAATACTTAATTGTTTCAATTCAAATGTACAGGGTGAGTGCCTGTGAGTGTAAATAGATTGTGTAATAGAGGTAGAACTTTAGATGGTGGCTATAAACTAATATACAACCATTTGTTTGTACTTTGATTTGCCTGCATGAATTATTACCCGTTTACAGCTGAAATGTTATGCCCTTGAAAATTTGAACTGCGATATATATCATTTTTAGGAGGAAAATCCCTTTTGTTACAATATATAATTGTGTTAGGGAGAAAAATATATAGAGGAATATTGACCTATATAGACAATCTAATTGTTAGAAGAAGGCAGTCCAAATATATATTATACTCCACTACCTTTAGAGCTTTCCGGGCTCTAGGATCGACAACATTCGCTCTTCCATCTTCAGCTGGTTTATTCTGTACTCTTCAGCAGCATTCGTCCGTCTGAACATTGGAACAGTAACGAGAAAAATTCCCCCCTCCTCTACATTCATAACAGTTACCAGATCCCTTCTACTGAGCCTTTCTTATCTCCTCTGCAGCAAGCTTTGTTGGCCTTGCGCTCCAAACTGATGGTGTTTCGATGTTCTCCTGGCGCTCTCCCCCTTTAAGAAGTATGTAAGAAGGCCCTGTTTTTCGTGGTTTTCCCATGTTACAACTTCTATACCAATTCGGTCGATCCGGAATGGATCGATTAAACATTCGATTAGGGAGTCTGGTCTTGACTCTTCTGTGTGGTATTCATTCTCGTCGGCTCTTGAAATCACATCCAGCAGTGGTTGGAACAGCTCGCAAAATCCAATCATAAAAAGCATGAGTTACTAAAGTCTAAAGGCAAGGTGGTTAAGCCAATTTCATGTATTACAAAAGTCAACAACCTGTGAGTTCTACCAAAATTTGCCGCCTGCATTTCAAAGTGGTAGTTGGTCAAGCAAGTGAACCACCAAATAATCAACACTTCCTCTATTTCTAGAATATGAGCACATAATTTTTGTTCCATGCCTAAAATACTCCTAAAAATACTTTAAGATAGTGTTAATTGCCTTTATGGAATTTTAGGATTTTTCTTTATTTTTATTTTATTTGTTTGGCATTTATTTGCATTTTTAGCATATTTAGTACCATTGCAAATCAAGAAAATATTTTATATTTTATTCTTTGCATTTTTAGATCTTAAATCACATGTTAATTGCATTACTAAATACAAAATCACAAAAAATAATACTCCCTCTGTTTCAGTTTATGTGAACCTATTTCCTTTTTGGTCCGTTCCAAAAAAAATGACCCCTTTCTAAATTTGGTAACAATTTAGCTTAAACTTACCATTCTACCCTTAATGAGAAGCTTTTATAACCACACAAATACTCTGGGCCCCTTTTTCACTTGTTTAGGACCACAAATTTTAAAAGTCTTTATTTTTTATTAAACTCCGTGTCCAGGCAAGCTGGTTCACATAAATTGAAACGGAGGGAGTAGTACATTAGTTATTTTGGTAATTCATAGCTTAATTAATTGTTAGATAAGGTAGTGAATAAGTTGATTTTGCAATTTAAGTTTTACATATTATGTTACTCCCTCCGGTACATACTAAATTCAAGACGAAAATAGTTAGCATGACTAAACTACCCTTTATTAATGTTGCATCATAGTGATAATAGCACTTACTTTTCTTCTAAAATGTAAGGAGTAAATGACTTTTTAGGGATAAGTACATAAGGGTAATTTTGGAAAAACAAATTGAATTTTTTTTTAATTATATAAATGGATACTTATTTCGGACCAAAATAAAAAAGCAAATTGGTCCCTTATTGTGGATCAGAGGGAGTAGTTAATTAGTGGTTAAAAATGAAAGAGAAAAAGAAAGTAGAAGGGGCTCACTACAAAAAAAAAAACAGCATTTAGCGGCTGACGTATTCCGTCGTTAAACATGTTATTTCCGTCGCTAATACAGTTTAGCGACGGATTCAAGTTGGTCGCTAAAATGCTCGTAGCTAAGCTCATAGCGACGAAAAATACAAAACTGTAGCAGAGCTAGCGACAGATTAGCGACATAATATATCCGTAGCCAAGTTTAGCGACCGAAAAATCTGTTGCTATTTTGCTTGGTTTCATCGCTATTTTGACTAATTTTGTCGCTACAATTCATAACAAAATTCATCGTTTGTTCTTATTAGCAACGAAATAATCCGTCGCTAGTTCTTCTTGGTTTTAGCAATGAAAACCGTTTGTCACCAATCCGTCGCAATATTTAATTTAATGCATTAATTTTAGCTACGAAAAATATTTGTCGTTAATTTTTAAATTTGTTTATTTATTTATTATTTTAAATGTACCCTGTTCAAGCATATTACATAAATGTTATTAAATACACTTAATTAAAAGTGACTGATATTAATATAAATTAACATTCAATAAGGTCCAAAATATATAGCATAATACATATAATTGTATCGTTAAGTACAAAATATCCACAAGCACCTACAATAAAGTTTAAAGAAAATAGGCTAACTATGCAAGGCTGGAGAGTCATGGTCATCGTCAGAACCCATTACATGAACCTCATCAATATTAGCAGCAACATAAGAGGTAGGAACTATAGGTGCCACGTCAGATGGGTGATTGGTAGGATCAATATTGGGCTGTTGCGAGGATAAAGAAACTAATTCGCATACCCACTCAACGATTACAGGAATTATATGATCAGTCAGTACAGGAATCAATCGTGTCATTAACTCATTCATATTCCCTATCGGTGCTGATTGAGCATTTAAAGGTGTTGCTGAGGATGTTGCATCAGATCCAAAAGAGTCATAAAGATTCGGCCCATAGTAGTATTTTTCTTGAGATCCAAGACCATATACTCTTCTTTTCTTATCTTCTCCTGCAACTTCGTAATATGTTTTACACTGATCAATATCAGATTGACTATGTATTTGTTGCTTTAATATCTCCTCATATTTTTCAGGTAGAAGAGTTAATAATTAGTGAAATTGAAACATTAAAGAATATTGAGTATTCAATTTACAAAATGAAAAAAAGATATGAAAGTAAAATCAATAAAATTATTTAAAAAGTTGACTTAGATGTACGATTCGGGATTTCTCACCATCAAATGATTTTCATCATTACCATGTGTATGGATGTGCAAATGTATCTCACTTGGTGTTGGATCTCGACCCTTTTTAATAGCCTATACTAAATATATTCAATTAAAAAGATTGGCAAAAAGACGTATAAAATGATATTTAAAAATAACATGGAAAAAATGAAGCAACTTAAGTAGAACAGAGAAACTAAAAACTAAACAAGTTCCCACCTTCAAAATCTTGTTATTTTAAGGAAGCACCTGGAAAGAATATTTTAATTTATTTCTTGAACTTCCATGTAAATTAAAGACAGTCCAAACCTTATTAGTGACATAGCTAGCTTTTGATCGCAGAGAAGTCTCCAAACTGGTTTTGAAGCTCCCAATCTCAACTCCCACCTCCAAAATTAACTACAATGTATGCAAAGTATTTAGAGCAAGACAACTTAAAAAACATAAGAACTTATTTCGTTCTACTAGCTGATGATAATAACAGCAAAATGACAAAGATAGTAGGGAGAGAAGCCTAAGGTTCTTATTGGCTCAGTTGGATCCAAGAGCAATAAGGTGCCTTATGTTACAGTGCTTCTTAACTTTCTAAATCAGCATTATAACTTGTCAAACACGATCCATCAGTAGCAAGAAATCCTGTTACCACTTGATATGACCTTACCAGAACCTATTCCTTCCCACTGTCTCAGAAAAATCTAACACAGATTGTAAGTTTACAAGGAGTGTAACAAGATTGCAGTGTCCTATGGTCTTTCAAACTCTTAAATAAGCCATGCCACATCTTCTTAGAAAATAAGCAAAGAAAATATATACTTCGTCGTTCCAGTTTATGTGATGCACTTTCTTTTTTAATCTATTCCAAAAAGAATTATATCTTTCTATCTTAAGAAATAATTTAAATATAAACTTTCCATTTTATCCTTAATGAGATGATTTATAGCCACACAAATATATATATGGGTTGTTTTATACCACAAGTTCCAAAATCTTTCTTTCTTTCTTAACTTTTGAGTAATTATTATCACTTTTGTAGACAAGAAAGAGTGTTGGCACATTGGTTTAATGGAGTCTTAAGCTAGAAAAGGTCTAGGGTTCAATTCTTTTTAACCACAATTTTTTTTACAATAGAGGCTCACACAATATTTGCCAAAAAGAAAGTCGAAGCTGAGGTTCAACCTCCAACCTCTATAAGCAAGTCCGTGAAGCGCTCTTTGTCAAGCAGTGTCATTTCTGATTTATCTATTCTTTTTAGCATAGTGTTTATCTATATTTAGTAAAATTTTCCAACAAAATTGCATTTACTGATCTGCTCATTCGCATCCTTTTGCATAGGCAACACTATTAAATAGTGAATATTAACCCTTTCTTAGGACACTCCAACTGCCGAAATGATCTCTTCAAAGTTTTTCTAAGAAATGCTCTTGACCTTTTATTGATACAAAATCAAAGCAAGACAACTAATTTCCGTTCTGCCTTAATCTAATTAATAATTATAGCATTTCATGTTCCCGATGATGCCTTTGACCAGTGAAGGTACTTCTCATGCTTATTTCCAAGTAAGGTTCTATTTAAATCAAATACGTACTTCTTATCCATCAAAATTCAAAGGCAAAACCAGAGGCCTAATACTGCAACATCAAAAATACATTCTATGCTACAAGGAATACACGGAAGATTGCAATATTTACACAATCTACACAGAAGAATGAAGGGAGGATCCATATAGCCGACCCTAACTTGTTTTTGGGACTGAGGTGTAATTGTTGTTGTTATATGGAATTAGCTCTTTATTTCTTAAATAAAACTAGGATGAGTAAAATATATTTATTTCCTGAAGGTAGAGACCAGTGCCTTACAACAACAACAACAACAACAACAACATACACAGTCTTATCCCACACCGTGAGCTTTGGGAGGATAGTGTGTACACAAAGTCACAGACCTTACCCCTACCTTGTGATGATACCTTTTGATGATAGAGAGGTTGTTTCCAATAGACCATCGGCTCAGGAAAGCATAAACACTACATTAATAAAAATATAGACACGAAGAGACAGTACCAAAAAACCTTGTGAGTGCCTGCAAAAAGTTGGATTAATCACGCTCATTTCCTTTAACATACAAATACACAAATGATCATGTCCACATTTGTTTGTTGTGATTGTGAGACCTTATTGCTCACAGCACTTCTATCACATCCATGTTATGCTGCATAACTTCGATACAAGATTCAAAATGAAAACCAGATCTTTATTCAAGACTCATCAAACACTTAGGAGGTAGAGTTAAGATACTTTAAGGCTTTAACATAGCAAGCCATACTGTTAACTTCTTAGATCTTCTATTTTCACAAAAGAAAGAAGCCACGGTAGTCAAGCTTTTACAGAGGAAAAATGGCTTCAAATTCAGGGAATAATTTGGAGAGAAAAGACACCCACACAAGACATGTAACTCCTTCGATGATCAACTGACAATATACCTGCCAATATAGAAACATACCTGGTCAAAAATATCTAGGTTTGACAATGCCCAACCTTTCTTTCGATAGGCTTCATCATCTGACCCTTCAGCACCGTAACAGGAACCATAATATGTTTCGTTGTGCTCAAGTCCTCCTCCATGCTTTTGCAAAGGCCTATCACTAAGGTATTGGTCTGACCCTTCAGACCAGTGCCTTAGTGAAGCTAAAATACCTTGTGAGTGCCTGCAAGAACAACAAAAGGAACAGCACGCCTTTGAGCTGCTAGAGCCACCATGTTCATTCCAATAGGTGCAATAACCCCACCATTGGCCATGACAGCGTGGGCTCCAACAACAACCATGTTGACTCTTGAACATATCATATCATATCAATTTATTATTAGGGTAAATCTCTAATAAAAAATAGTGAAATCTAAACCCTAAAGTCATATGAATTTATTATTGACCCAAAAGTATGAAAATCAAGGTATCGGTCAAATAAGAATTACCATATCAAAATTCCTCAACATAATTAAATGGAAAGAAAGAAAAACAAAAACAAAATAACAGAAAATTTACCTGGACAAAGATAAGAATAATGATGTAGACAAAGTGCAAAAATTGTAAAAATAAGGGTTTCATCTGAAAATCTTGCGGAGCAGCAAACATGCCCGGGAATGAACGAGGGTCAACAAACACAAAAGTTATACAGCAAAAATTTTTGCCCAATTTCTAAATTTCTTCTATTCTCCATTGGATATCTATGTTCCCATTGTATTTGAGCCGTAGATTCATAATCAATTTGTTGTATTTGAAGCAAGAATCTTACATTATTGAAGATGAGAGAAAGTGGGTGAGTTTGATAGAAAGAGAACATAAGTCTGTAAGTAGATTTGTGCCCTAGATAAATTTTAATTTTAAAAAGAACTAGCGACGGAAATAGCTACGGAAATAATTCTATTGCTGATAATAACTTGGGCAAAATTATTTTTACGAATCTAACGAGGGAATTTCCGTCGCAATTAAATTTGAAATGTTTTGATAAGTAAAATAAACGCAACGACAAAGTTACTTTGTCGTTAAATTCGTCGCTATATTTTAATAATGTTTGTCGCCCCACTTTCGTCGCTAATTTTGTAGGTAAATAAAGGCGCCAATTTTTAGCGCCTATTTTTTAGCGACGGATATAAAATTTCATCGCTAATCCATTGCTATATTTGATACTAAATCTTTTGTAGCTTATTTGGCGACAAACATTACAATTCGTCGTTAATCCGTCGTTATTTAGCTACGGAATATGGCTTGTCACTAAAATCCGTCGCCAAACGCTTTTGTAGTGGCTGTTTTGAGTTTCAAACCAGACTGGGCCAACATTTGAACGGCCCAATTGCTAAATACCCGCCCCAGTCCACTCCAAAATCGGTCCAGCCTTTTCAACAACCAAACGACGTCATTTTAGATTAGGTTGATTAGATCAAATCTTAGCCGTCCCTCAATGTTGATCCAACGGCCAGGAACTCAATTCCCCATTCCCTTATAACTGTCTGAATCAAGAACCCCTACCCCCAAAACCCTTCCTAGATACCTTCTTCTCCTCTCTCTCATCCTCCGCCCAAAGCCGTAGCCGGAAATCGCCCACGGTGGAGGCACCACTCCAAACACCCCCAAATCTTCGCCCGACAATCCCCACCTCCTCCTCATCCTATATTTCCTCTTAATTTCCTCCAAAACACCCTAGGGTTCCCCGATTTTTAGATCTAAATTCCAGAAAACCTATCTTTTCCTCTTTTCTGATTTCTTTGGCGATTTCAACTCGTTTTGACCTAGAACCTACGTCGATCGATTGTTCTTAACAAGAACAATTGATTGACGTTGGTTTTGGTTCATTCCGAAGCCGTCGGATTTTGGTCAATCAGTTGCTGACCAATCAGAGCCCTTGAAACCTTGTCATTCCAATTCGAGTTCCGTCTAGGTACATCTCGTTCTCCTTTCTCTTCATGACAGTTTAGTTGGTTATTGATGCCAGAAATGTTAATTAGCTTTTTTTGTGTGTGATTACGCATTAGTTAATAAACCTGATTTGCATATTTTGTTGGATAATTGATTACAATTTTGAATTAGGTTAATTACATTTTAGGTTGGTTTGGTTTGATGATTCTAATCTAGTCTGAATTTGCTGTTTTTTGTTGATTAGTTTCTGAGCATGCCTATGTGTGTTTAATTTTGTCTTCGCCTTTGAACTCTGTTAATTCTAAGTTTCTAGTCTATTAGAGATCAAATTCTGATTTTGAATGAATTCCAAAATTCAATTAGTGATGCACAAGCTTTGTGAGATCTGATTAATTTTTGCTTTAGACCTAGGAGTGTAGATTGGGCTAGGAACAAGGCTCAGAATTAGGCCCAATTCAAGCTGGCTTTAGGAGCAAAATCTGTAAGAATAGAAACGTAAGGGGGCTAAGAGGGTATGAAGGTTTGGGAATCTTAGTTAGTTATTTAGGAAGCTTCTAGGAGTGGCTAATTTGCAATAAAAAAAAATTAAATTGCTAGGTGTTAGGATTGAAGAGTAAATACAGAAAGTAAAAATGCGTAAAGAGAAAGAAAAGAATAATTGGAATAGGACAGCTGTCCAAAATCTGTTAAAAAGATATTTTCCCCCTTTTTTTAGGGGCTGACAGATTCTCCTACGCCATCTCTCATTCTCTCATATAACACACATTCCGATCTGCATTTTGAAGAGGATTGACTCTCTTCTCCACAGGGATTTCTGCATTTTTAGACACTATTCATTCTGCATTTTTCAGAGAGATATTACCTCATCTCACACACAAATTGACTCCTCTTTCATCTCTGATTTCTTTTTCATGCATCTTCTCACCTCAAAGAAGTTAAAAAATACATATTTTTTAAATAAAATAAATAAATAAAAAACAGAGGTTTAGCCTTGCCTTTGTTTCATTTGTTTTCTGTATTTTTCTTTGTTGAGCTGCTGGGATTTTGCTGTTGAATTGAAGTTATTTTCCTGTTGATATTCTGCACTTTCAGAGATTTATTTTCTGATTTTTCTTTGATTCATTGCAATCAGGTACCTCTTTTGAACCTTGGACTATAAATTGGATATGAAGCATGCCTATGTGGAGGATATATGAGTATTGTGAAATTGATGGAATCAGTCATATTCAGTTCTTAATTCTTATGTTCTTTCAAGCTTTTTATTCTTTTTACTTCTTTTTTCTAGTTTCTTATTCTACTTAGAATTAGTAGATCTAGGCCTGAAATTGATATACAAGTTTCCTTATAGTGTGTAAAATGATAAGTCTGCTACTGTATTCTTCTGTGTTGGCCTCTAATTTAATGTTAAATGTTCAGCAGCTCCTTATTTTATACTCTGCATGCTTATAGTCGTATTTGTTGGTCAAGATGACACTATTTTCCTAGCCTCATAAGATTTGCTTAAGTTCAAATTATTTGAGCAGATGTCTTATGTTAGCAATCTATACACTTGGTGATAGCTATTTATAAAGAGTTCTTTTTACTGCATTGTTCTGTCAAAGTTAACAGCTGCCATTTTTTTTATTTTTACCTTATTCAAGGCTGGTTTTAAATGAAAGACATTACCGTGAATTAATGTGATTAGAATGTTGACTAAAATTAGTCTGCCTTTGAGAATTTCTGCAAAATTAGTGTTTTCTTTTAGAGATTGAAGACGTCTTGGGCTTTATTTCAAGCCCATAATTTGCTAATATGTAAATTGTTTCTAGTCTCAAACTATAATCCTTTAATTAATTTAAAATCAAGACACTGATCTAAATAAGTAAAGCACCAATTATTTCTCTCATACATTATTGGTTGAATACCCTCACCCTTTTTGATAATCTAAGAAATGATGACTGGGTCCATAAAATGATCAAATCAATTAATGATGTAAGTCTTTTTTTTCTTCTTTCTTCATTAAAACGAAAAAAAACCATTCATACTCTCATAACATTTCAAACAAATTTTTTCTTTAATTCAGCCACCACCCGTACTTTTTCACGTAGTGTGAGCAAAGATTCAAACAAGTTTTAATATTTCAAGACTTGGCTATTTTATAGCAATGGACCCTCATATATCCACATAAATTCCATAACCCTTAAACTTCACACATGCAACCTTGAACTCTAGGAAATTAGACGATTCATGAATATCCGTAGTAAGCTTTAGGCACGCTTACAATCTATTATCGTTATTATGCACAAGTTCGCGTGACATAGTTATGATTCTCAAAATAAATCAAGGTATGCGCTCGCGCGGCTTTGGTCAAATCATCTTAATAATTTATAAAGCGTGATTTAATGTGTATACGTACACGTGACGTGATTTTAACACACTAAATAAAATGAATTTACACACATGTGATCCGTTTCAAAGATAAATCCATACCGCCATAACTAAAAGCGGTAAAAGGTAAAATACGCATAGGTTCTAAAAATACGTATTTAAATAATTAATTAAGCCAGGTACGATCAAAGTGATTGTGCTAAACCCATGGAATCCCGGAATGCCTAATACCTTCTCCTGGTTTAACAAAATTTCTTACCCGGTCTTTTGTATTTCGCGGACTTTAAAACAGAGTCAATTTCCTTGATTTGGGGTTTTAAAACAAACTGGTGACTTGGGACACCATAACAACTATTCCAAGTGGTGAATCCAATTAAATAAATAATCCCATTTCGAATAATATTACTTTAATTGGAAAATTTCCTTATCTTCGGAAAAAGGAGGTGTGACAGCTCTGACGACTCTGATGAGGATCGAACCCAGAATCTCTGGTTCAGGGTTCAGAATTTGAGCTTGTTAATGTGATCTATACTTGGCTTTATTGATTGTTGATATTATTGTGTTTGTGGGCCTAATGTGCTAATTGTCGCTCATTTACCGCTTTGATATTATTTGAACTGTATTAAACTGTCTTCTTACTCCTCCTTTCCAAGTCTTATAAAATTATGGTGCGCACGTACGTGTGGCCCACTGTTCTATTAGAGGTCAGACCAAATATAACGAGGCTTGATCAGCAACTAGGCCGGGTATACTTTCGTGCTCCTGGTACATTACCCCCACCTCGGCTCGAGCTGTCCGCTTGGGTAAGCCAGATCTAAAACACACCCTCGGGATTTTAAACTTAGAATAACATAGCCTCATGTCGGATCCCTAGTAGGAACGTATGTTTGCATCACGTGCATTTGACTTTGGGGATTCAACACATGGGTTGGGTCTGTCTAGAACAAGTGTACCTAGAAATAAATGACAATCCTAATGCATCCTACGTGCTATTTGTGCATTTTGTTTGATCTGGTTTGCATGTTGACCAGCTGCTAGAATAAATATAGAATTTTGAGAAAAAAGTAGAAGTAAGAGGTAGGAGAGATGAGATTTATCCGGTTTCTAAAATCCCGGTATTTGAAAACTCCTGAAACATCTGCCAAAATTTTGAAAAAAAAGAGAAAAAGAAAAGTCATTTCAAAATGAGCCAATATTTTCAAAAGTTATATTTTTCCTGTTGTGCCAAAACTAACCGAACTACGCAGGTCTGATTCTCAGCGGATGTGAGATACGTAGGCAACTTTCATAGGGTTCGGCCCCACTTTTGTAAAAATAGCCAAAAAATAAAATAAAATGTGTCTAGTGTTTTGGTCAAATAAGTAAGTCGATTCAGCTTTGGTTGCAACCTTGAGCCGTTTCTATCGGAATAGCCTTAGAACATCTCTAAAATTGTCGAAGAGCTATTCTCGCAAGAACGGATGTGTCTGTCATTGGGCATCACTTTTGCCATAGTGCCTTTCCCCGGCCTCAAAACTTTCCTTGAAAGTGCGAAGGGGTCATTATTGCAAAATAGCCACCTTTGCTTTGGGCTGATATTGCATAAATAGTCACTCTCCCTTTGGTTTTCTTTAGAAAATTGAAAGATTGATTTGAAAAAAAAATGTTGGTTTGTCTTTTGGAACTAGTGTTAATGCTAACCCTAACCATCCACATGTACAAAATGAGTACTGTCCAGAACCCACCATTAACAGTTGTAGATCAGGCTCCACTGCAGCTTCAGATGTGGTGGTATGACTTAGGGAAATATTGTCAAGATTGGGTAACGAAGCATTTGGGCGCCGTTACAGATATCATGAAAGTTAAACCATGAGACGCTTTGATTGAAGCCCTAGAAACCTTCTAAGATCCCGTTCACAATGTTTTCCGTTTCTTGAATTTTGAGCTTACTCCTACCTTAGAAGAAATAGCTGGGTATTCATGTTTCGACAGGAATTTGAGACACCAACAACTCATATTCCCAAGGACTCTCTCTATGCATCGATTCTTTGATCTTTCAAATATTAGTAAGCAAATCAGAAAAAACAATGTAGACAAAGAATGTTGTTCCTTTTTATTTACTGTACTCCAGGTTTGGGCATTCAAATGGTTACGAAATGCATGAAAATGGTCTAAACAACAAGTAGAACAAGGACATGGCAAATTCACTGTCGCTTCTCTTTCATAGTGGCGTTTTTGGGAATTATGGTCTTACCAAATGAAGTTCTGACGATTGATATCCGCGTAGCCAAAATTGCACAGGTTCTCACTACCAAAGAGCATTACACTCTTGCCCCGATTATTTTGTCAGAAATTTATCGGACATTGACGTTGTGTAAATTCTGGGCAAAATTCTTCGAAGGGCGCAATATTTTGTTGTAGATGTGGTTGATTGAGCATCTCCATCATAACCCAAAATTCATGAGTTATGGCTCGAGCAAGAACAACTTTATCAGGAGTTACGAGGAAAGAGCAAAAGATTACAACTCTCAAAAAAGGGTGAAAGCCTGGATATCCCACCTAAGATCTTTGAACGCAAGTCAAATTGAGAGGACTTTGGGATGGCTCTCGGTAAGGAAAGTAATACACATGTCGACTTTGAAAAGGTATTTGTTGTTTATGGGTTTGAGAAGTGTCCAACCGAACGCACCGTAGAGAGTTATAAGACAGTTTGGAAGATACCAAGTGGTGTACGAGAATGAAGACTTGAGTGTCCAAGTCATCGAGCTACACCCAGAAGCTCCACTCCCCGAGGCTTTAATCCAACAATTTTGGAATGGCTGTCAGTACTTGGAAGATGATACCCAAGTGCCAGATCCTGCGAGAGGTGAGGTAAACCCAGTTTATCTTATGTGTTTCGGGAAAAGTTCTCGCGTGGATGATGAGTTAGAGCTTGAGCCCGAAAGGCCCGCCAAAAGGCCGCATGTGCAGGATTTTGATGATAAAATCCGAGAACGGTTGGCATGGGGAGAAAAAGAAAAGGTATACCAAGAAACCATCCACACCCTAGAAGAAAAGCTGAGAAACCTCAAATTTGAGAATAATTTACAAGCGCAAGAGGCTGAAGGTGAAAAGAAAAGTCTGACCCGTGAGAACGAGGCACTCCGATCCCAACTCTGGGAAATAAGAATAGCCGCTGAGACGCCGGTAAGAAATGAAAGGGATTAAAAAATCATGAGAAACTTGAGGCAAAAAGTGCATGACTATGCGGCCGACCTGACAAAGGCCGAGAAAGATTTGGCAAAAGCTTAGGCAAGGATGGTCCAGTTGGGGAAGATGGAGAAGAATAGATAAGGTTAGCTCACCAGGAGAAGAAACGTTATGACAGAGAAGTCGCGGTCTTGAGGAAAGTGTTGGCCATTTTCGAAAACAAAATGAGACAATAAGTGAAAGATTTCAGGATAGAGATGGAGCATTGATATGCCTTGATCAACAAATTGGAAGAGAGTGTGTTGATTTTGCAAAACTAAAACAACGAGGCCATGCAAATAGTGGAAGTTTTGGAGTAACAGATTGGATGCTTGCTACAGGAGAAGGGCGATATTAAGCTTAGAATCAAAGAAATAGCTGACTACACTCCATGAAATGTAATGAATGTGAGAATATGAATCGAGCTATGTTCTTTGCTTCAGTGCTGTCTTTCGCTCACCAGGTCATGGCCGACCTAGAGTTCCTTCAGGAAGAGCTTACAAGCAGGCTCACACCAAGACCAACTAAAGTCACCAGAACTACCGGAATAACATTTGAGGCTTGTCTGTGTTCTTGATTGTTCAGTCGTTGAGTCTGTATTTTACTTTTTCCTTGCGTCAAGTCTGTTTGTCCTTTCGTCCATTTCAAGTATGTCGTTATTCTGCTTTGAGTCTATATATTTTCCTTTTAAGTCAGTTATCAATGTCTTCGAGTCTTATAATGGAAAAACCAAAAAGATTTGTTAATGAAATATTTAAACCCCCCCTC